GCCCTGCCATCAGAGAACGACTCGCGGCAGGCACGCGGGACCGGGTCGAGAGTTATGTCGGGCCTGTCCCCCTACAGGGGGATTTTCGGCGAAAAATTTCTAAAAAAGCCCACGAATCATCAAAAACTACTCCAAACATAGTCTGGGGACTCTTTTTTGAGTGTTTTTGTTGACCTTCTTGGGGCATTTTTGGGGGTATTTTTTTTATTTATTTTTCGTCGAGAATCCCCCTTGTAGGGGGACACGCCCGACATAATGTCATCCTCGCCCTGGCTTCGTCTTATGTCGGGCCCTGCCATCAGAGAACGACTCGCGGCAGGCACGCGGGACCCTGTCGAGAGGTCCAGGGCCCACGTCGCGGGGTGCGCCAACGGAGCGGGCGCACGGCCGCGGGGTCGGCCGCGCGCACCGGCGTGCAGGCTGCCCGAGGGTCGTCGTGGAGGGTTTTTTTCCGGAGGGCTTGGGCGACCCCTCCTCCTCCCCCTCCTCCTCCTCCTCCTCCTCCTCCTCCTCCTCCTCCCTCCTCGTCCTCCTCCTCCTCCTCATCCTCATCCTCTTCCTCCTCTTCCTCCTTCTCCTCCTCCTCCTCCTCCTCCTCCTCCTCCATCTCTTCCTCCATCTCCTCCTCCTCCTCCTCCTCCTCCTCCTTCTCCTCCTCGGGTCGCCTACGGCCCCGGGGGAAACCGTGCAGGTCGTCGTGCGTATTCGCCCTCGTTTGTGCGGTGTACCGCGTTGTCCGTTCGCGCGAGCCACCGCGTAAGGTCACCATCTCCTCACAAGCGAGGCCCCGAGACGGACGTGAGGGGGCGCCGCGGAACAAAAAGCGACGGCCTTCATCCTCCCTAGGCCCTGACTCGAGGTCGTGGGTCGTGGACAACTCTGGGCGGAGGTGTTTTGCCAGTGTCGGCCTCTTGGGGCCGTTCTCGGGCTCGGAGGAATGGTGGGCTTGCCTGTGCTTTGTGGACTGGTGTGCGCCTTGAGATCTGGCGTCATGAACAATCCACGACGTCCCCACTTTCGACGTCTTGAAACAAGTCAGGGCGGACTTTTGCATTATTGTTGGCCCTTCGGCTACCGTGTTCGTGCTCCAGGATCCAGGACAGAAAACCAACCATTGGAACCGGGTTGGGACTTTCGTGGACTCCACATTGAAAAATCACGACGTCGTGCTCCTCCTCGAAAGATCGAGGAGGACCCACATTTTTGGAGTTTCTTGCTTCACCGTTCTCTTCATCCCTCGTGGTCACGGCTGGATTCGCGTCGACATGATGGCGAGAACGTGCTTTTGAACGAAGCCTGGGGTTGATGGGCCTGTTTTCCACCACCACCACCAATAGTTGGAGGGGGGAAGGAGGTGGAGGACGAGGAGGAGGAGGAGGAGGAGAATGACGAGGAGGAGGAGGAGGAGGAGGAGGAGGAGGAGGAGGAGAGGGAGGGGAGGAGGAGGAGGAGGGAGGAGGAGGAGGAGGAGGAGGGAGGAGGAGGAGGAGGAGAGGAGGAGGAGGAGGAAGGAGGAGGAGAGGAGGAGGAGGAGGAGGAGGAAATGAGGAGGTGGAGGAGAAGGAGGAGGAGGAGAGGAGGAGGAGGAGGAGGAGGAGGAGTGGAGGAGGAGGAGGAGGAGGAGGAGGAGGAGGAGGAGGAGGAGGAGAACCCCCTCCCCCTCCAACTCATGGTGGTGGTGGTGGAAAGTAGGCCCGTCATGGGGTTCCCCCGCCTCCCCGGACCTCCCGGCAACTCCCTCGTCCTCCGGCGATCTCGGCCAGGCCTTCCGTTTCTCTGGGGGCCCGCTGCGGGCACCTGGGCCGTCAGAGAATCGGCTGGGGTGGAACATCTGGAGCGTCGCAAGAAGGGCTTTTGATGGGCCCAGGTTCCACAAGCACTACCAGATGTAGGAGGAGGAGGAGGAGGAGGAGGAGGAGGAGGAGGAGGAGGAGGAGGAGGAGGAGGAGGAGAACCTCCTCATCCTCCCTTCTCCCCCGTCCTACATATGGTAGTGGTTGTGGAAAATTTGCCCATCAGCCTTGCCATCGAGGATCGAGGGGGTTGTCATCCCGCGGTAGAAAGCCAGCGGGAGGCTGGCGGGAAGGCGGCGGAAGTAAAAGATGCGCCCCCAAGAGACGACAGCGTTTTTGGGTTCCGGGATTCCGAGATCGCCCATCTGTCCTCAGGAGGGGGTCGAGCGAGAGCCCTCGGGGCGACTGGCACGACCAAGTGGTGACACATGTCGGATGCGGAATAAGCGAGCTGCGGAGAGAAGACGCGGGAGGAGCCCTTTCAGATTCGATTCCGTCTCTCCCTGTGGGGAGTTTGTCTCGAGGCAGACCGATCCGTGAGGGTCCCATCGGGGGCCCGGCGGCTCTGAGGGTGGAGGAGGAGGGGGAGGAGGAGGAGGAGGAGGAGGAGGAGGAGGAGGAAGAGGAGGAGGAGGAGGAGATGGAGGAGGAGGAGGAGGAGGAGGAGGAGGAGGAGGAGGAGGAGGAGGAGGAGGAGGAGGAGGAGGAGGAGGAGGAGGAGGGAGGAGGATGAGGATGAGGGGGAGGAGGAGGACCAGTGTAAACCCAAGAGTCATCAACTATGTTGGAGTTAACCCTCCCTCCAAGCTCCCTCTTCATGGGCCCCCTGCATCGGTTCATTTGCACTGAGGGAACTGCCTCGTTGGAAGGCAACAGTTTGAAGATCCTTAAGCATGCCAAAACATTGTTCTCGGGAGGATTTCAACGCCACGTATCAACCAGACTGCTGCGTCTTGACGATCCAGAATCGTACCACAGCGTCATTTGTTGGACTTCACCACCGCGAATCAACAGAGCTGTTGCAACCGCATAATCCTGAATCCTTCCAAAACGCAATTTCTGGTACGTTGATCATGGGAATCCGTGAAACCCTTGTTTTTTTCAGAAAAAAGACTGCGCGGTGCCAAGGCGAGAGCCACATTTTGAAAACGACCCGCCCTCAATCCGTGAAGCTCTTGCAACTTTTGAAGACGAATGTGTGTGGCGCTAAGGCGAGAGCGCCATTTTGAAAACGACCCGCGCTCAATCCGTGAAGCTGTTACGTTTTTTTGAAACGAATGTGCGCGGGGCTAAGGCGAGAGCCACATTTTGAAAACCACCCGCCCTCAATCCGTGCAATTCTTGCAAATGTTGAAAACGAATGTGCGCGGGGCTAAGGCGAGAGCCACATTTTGAAAACCACCCGCCCTGAATCCGTGAAGCTCTTGCAAATGTTCGAAATGAATGTGCGCGGAGCTAAGGCGAGAATCACATTTTGAAAACCACCCGCCTTCATTCCGTGAAGCTCTTGCAATGTTTTAAACGAATTTGTGCGGCGGTAAGGCGAGAACCACATTTTGAAAGCGACCCGCCCTCAATCCGTGAAATTGAAACTGTTGCACATGTTTAAAACGAATGTGCGCGGGGCTATGGCGAGAACCACAGTTTGAAAACCACCCGCCCTCCATCTGAGAAACATGTATCCATTTTTTAAGCTGCAGAGTCATAAGTGGTGAGGAAGTCTTAGTCGAAACGCCCACCCCGCCCTAAAAACAGGCCTCGGGGTGTGACAGGGGGAAGTTATCTATAAGGAGGAGGCATGGAGGAGGAGGAAGAGGAGGAGGAGGAGGAGGAGGAGGAGGAGGAGGAGGAGGAGGCCCTCTCAAAACTCGTTCCCTGGACCTCTCCTGGGGCGCGTCCGGGCCAGAATTGTATAAAAGCGGGGGGGGTGGGGTATTTAGCGGGGCCCACGAGGGTTCCGCGGAGGCTGCACGAAACTCCCAAAGCGTGCAACACGTCGCTCGTCGAGAAGAAGACCCGGAGATCCGGCTTTGTGAAAAGTATGCAGCATCCTGGAGAGTCGCGACGGAGCCCTCGACCACAGCTTTCTGTGGATCGATCCGTGAGGGTCCCCGGGCGCAGAATCGGGAAGTCCCAGTGTGGACAAAATGCGACGCCTAGATCTCCGGGGAGGAGGTGGAGGAGGAGGAGGAGGAGGAGGAGAAGGAGGAGGAGGAGGAGGAGGAGGAGGAGGAGGAGAGGAGGGGAAGGAGGAGGAGGAGGAGGAGGAGGGAGAGGAGGAGGAGGAGGAGGAGGGGGAGGAGAGGGAGGAGAGGGGAGGAGAAAGAGGAAGAGAAGGAGGAGGAGGAGGGAGGAGGAGGAGGAGGAGGAGGAGGAGGAGGAGGAGGAGGAGGAGGAGGAGGAGGAGGATGATGAGGAGGAGGAGGAGCCATGTGCCTGGCATGCTTGGGGCTCTCTGCGGCACCCCCGCCAGGGTGCGGGACGCCTACGTGGCCCAGCTGGGAGACTTCGGGCTCACGCGGGAGGTGCCGCTCTGCGAGGACCCTCCCCCGCGGCTGCCGGTTAGGCCTGGTCGTCGCTGGAGCCCCACTGGCGGATGGTACATTCAGGGGGGACGAAAACACACAGGCAGAAGCCGTCGTCTTTTCCCAGGAAGAGGTGGGAGACAGAGGGGAAGTGGAGGGGAGGACGAAGCCCCCGAAGACCTGGAAGCACATGTGGGGAGTCCTGGGATTTGTGTCCATCTGTTAGTGTGTCCCTCTGGGCGTGGTAACGGGGACGCGTTCGCAATGACGAGTACAAGTGAAGAGGGAACATGACGGACAGGCGATATGTGTGACAGATGTGTAAGAGCGATGGGGCTAACGGCAACAAGGAACCTTCGTATTTATCGTTTTTTTTGTGTTTGTTGTTTTTTTGTTTTTTTTCTTTATTTGTTCTTCTTCTTCTTCTTCTCACACTCTCTCGCTCCCTCTCACTTTTTTCTCTCACTCCTTCTCCCTCTCTCTCTCTCGCGCCCCGCCTGCCGCCTGCGCGCCGATCCTGAAGGGCCAAGGTTCGTGGCGCCAAGCGCCAGTGCAATCTTGTATATCGATGTGCTTATACATACATGTGTGTATACATGTATGTATACATGTCTGTATGCATCCATGCATGCATGTATGCATGCATGCATGTATGTTTGTACATATGCATGTCTGTCTGTCTGTCTGACTGTACGCATGCATGTATGTATGTATGTATGTAAGTATCCGAATGTATGTATGAATGTACGCATGTATGCATATATGTATGCATGCCTGTATGTACATGTATGTATGCATGCATGTATGCCTGTATGTATACACGCATGTAGTATGTATGCATGTTTGTGTATACGTATTTGTATGTATATGTAGGTCTGTATGCATGTATGCATGTATGCATGCATGTTTGTATCTATGCATGTATGTACAACTGTACATATGTACGTATGCATGCATGTATGCAGGTATATATGTATGCATGCGTATCTTTAGACCTACACGTATACACATATACACATGTGCATGTACAAGTATACATGTATATGCACATGTATATATATATATATATATAGCACCGCGGAGATGACTCTACACATAGTGCGCGCCATGTTCCGCCAGAGGCACGCGGTTCGGGACCCGCGCGGGCCAACACTCGTTTGGTTGCTCGTCAGTGTTCCAATCGGAGCTCGCGGGCGCGCCGCCCCAGGGCGGCCCTGGGCGGTGGCGCCCGAGGGGCGGCGGAGGACTCCGCCCTCTCCGAGCCCTCCTCGCCGTGAAGTAGCCGCGACGTCGCGGGGTCTGCGGAGGACCATCACCACCCACCAAACCTCCTCCTCCTCCTCTTCCTTCTCATCGTCCTCGTCCTCGTCCTCGTCCTCCTCCTCCTCCTCCTCCTCCCACCCCAACCCAACGCGAAGGCCTCAATTCGCCCTCCGCTTCCAGAGGGGGGGGGGGTCGGGGAACATTGACAGAAAGACATGGGACCCGTACCCCCCCGCCCAACCCGAGATTCGGGGGTATTCGGGCCTTCGGGTTGGGTTGGGGTGGTCTGGTAGGTAGTCAGACCAACACTTTGCTCTGTTGTGTTATGCGTTCTGTACTTCTTGTGTCCCGCCGTTTCCTCTGGAGCCCGCGCTCGAGGAGGCGACGGCTTCGGACGCGTAATGTCCTGACGCTTCGCTGTCCCCCGCCGACCCATGCAGAAACGATGTTGGGAGAGTTTCGTTGACCGGGGCAACGGAGGATTATGCAGTGGAACAAAGAGGGGGGAGCCGTCAAGCGGTAGAACCGTGAGTGAACCATGTATGACTTCGCGGCCTTGTCGAATGCGGGGGAGGATGTGGCGGAGGAGGAGGAGGAGAGGGAGTAGGTGGGAGGAGAAAGAGAGGAGGAGCGGGATGGAGGAAGGACGAGGGATGATGATGCTGATGATGATGCTGCTGCTGATGATGATGATGCTGATGATGATGATGATGTTGATGATGAGGGGGAGGAGGAAAACCAGAGTAAACACAAGACGTATCCGCGATGCTTCAATACACCCTCTCATCCCAAGTCTTCTCCCGACAAATCTCTACAAGGCTTGTTTTTTTCATAACAAGGAGCGTCCCCTTGAAATACCAACACTCATTGGGCCAGCCGCTCAGGCGAGAGCTTCGCTCCGAAAAGGAACTACTTTACATTCTTCTAGCGCGCAAGCAAACATTGTCAAAAGGTAGGATCATACAGTTCAACGGGTTGTCCACCGATGTCCCCGTTTTGAAACATGACCCTCTCCCATTCGCGTAACTGCTGCACAAGGTCATACTTCATGCTACGGACTTCGAGGAGGCCTTCAGCGATAGTTTTGAACACGGACCGTCTTCCATCAGATATCAGTGCTGCTGCCACACATGTGTATGCTCTGGGTTTTTAATTACAAGGACGTCTCAAGCGATAGCCCCATTTCGAAAAGGGAACCGTCCTCCATCCTTGTTACTGTTGAGCAAGCTTCTGAGACGGATGTGCGCGGTGTTGAGGCGAGACCCCCATTTTGAAATGCAGCGCGCTTCCATTTTTGATGTTGCTGTCATAGATGAGCGTGCGCGGCGCTAAGGCGAGAGACCCATGTTAAAAACTGTTGTGATGTCCGAAGAGGATGATGAGACTGATGGTGATAATGATGATGCTGATGTTGATGATGATGCTGGTGCTGCTGATGGTGCTGATGATGACTGTGATGATGGTGGTGATGATGAGGATGAGGAGGAGGAGCAGGAGGAGGATGAGAAGGACGAGGAGACGAGGGGGAATGGGAGGGGGGAAGGGGGAGGAGGAGGGAGCAGAACAATACTAATAGTAATAGTACTGCTAACGGTAACCATAGTACGATCATCGATCGTAATATTCCTACAGTGATATCATTCACACTGATACGATTAACGCAGTAGGCAATGATGGCTACTGATAACAATACTACAAGTAATACTACCAGTTTTCGCCATACTGTTACTAAGATTAGGGATTCTAGTAATAATGTTACGACGATGACTAACATCAATAATACTAATAAGGCTTATAATAATACTGTCTGTGGCAATCAACAGACAGCTTTAACTATTCATCAGACTTGTACCAGTCATAACTCTGCTGGTAATGAACACAATACTACGGTTAAACTACACATTAAGAAGACACATATACTACTTTCAAGAAGAATGATGGCAACACGGGTACTACTATCAATATCCATGAACAGACTAATACGAGCACTACGAACAAGAACAGTACACTAACAATTACAATAGGAATACTGAGCACACGAACAATGCGAGTAATACGAGGAATCAGAAGGAACACGCTAACACTACTAATCGTAGTACTAGTAATAATAAGAAGACGAAGGCGACGCATAATGATGATACCGCGAATCGTAATACTAATATTGCTACGAATACTCATAGTAATCACAAGACGAACCATAATACTCAGAAGAAGGAGGATGAGGAAAAGGAGGAGGAGGATAAAGGAGGAGGAAGGAGGTCGATACAAATTATAATGATGAGTAGACAACGAAGAGGACGACGGCATGGCCCTCGCGGCGGCGCGAGAAAACCCGAGGATGGCGTGCCGCACGTCGGCGGCACCTCTGGCTACATGGCCCCGGAGATGGTGGGCCAGGTAGTGGGGGTCGACGGGGTGATGGTGACCGAGGGAACACAAGCCGGCGGCGATGGCTGTATTGTGGCCGTCGGCACACCCCGCCAGGTCGACGGGGCGATGGCGATCAGGGAACAACACCGCACAACGATGGCTCTGCATCTACATCGGCCCTGGCCAGGCTCTTCCCGGGCCCAGGATAGGCCTGTGTGTTATTGGCGTGGGACGCCCCTCACCGCTGCGGCTGGATTCGCCTCAAGGCTTGTTTGCCCGAGCGCGCCCAAGGATGGGCCCTGGGGGCCGACGGGGCCACGGTGATCGAGGAGCAGACGTCGGGTTACGAGGGCCATATACGTGGGCGCCAGCCGGCATGTCGGCCGACGTGGGACGCCGTGGCCGGCGTCTCGGAGTCGCGCGCCGATCTCGGCCAGATCTGAAGTTCCAAGAGGGGCCTCAGACCCTCGCCTTCGCCCCCTGCGAGCAGCGCGGGCGTTGGGAGCCTGTGCCCGCGCGCGCAGACGTCCACCCTGGGCCCAGGCCCGGCCTGGGCCCAGGATGTCACCACCCACCAAACCACCCCAACCCAACCCGAAGGCTTCAATTTGCCCTCCATTTCCGGTTGGGGGGGGTCGGGGAACGTTGAAAAAGCACATGGAACCCGTACCCCCCCAACCCGAAATTCGGGTCAAATTCGGGTCTTCGGGTTGGGTTGGGGTGGTCTGGTAGGTAGTCAGGATGGGCCTTGGGCGGGGTCGGAGTCTGTGTGCAGCTGGCGTCCCCCCAGCCTGGCGGCGGGGCCCGGCCTGCGGCGGTGGTCATCGCGGCACAGCGCTGGGCGCCGATGCTGACGGCCGGGAGCCTTGGCTCGGCTCGTCGCGCCGCTGGGCTCTGGCCCACCACGCTGCGGCGCGACCCGCTGACCACGCCCCCGTCCCCGAACGACAACGTCCCGGGCCTTGCCTTTTGTCTGCCGGCCCGCGGGGCGGAGCGCCGCGCCAACAGCTCGCATGGGTCTGGCGTGTCGCCGGGGCCGCCACGGGGACACGCTGCTGACCGTAGACCCGTAGGGATGCAGCGACCCTCAGGAAGGGCCTGGGCAGGGTCGGGCCGGACGAAAGGGGGGGGTTGGGAAAGGGGGGGTTACGAAATTTGCTGCATGCAGCTGATTTCGGCCTCGCCGAGGGGCCCATTCCTCGATACGTAGCCGCCTCCGGTGCCGGGAGGCGCCGGGAAAATCAGCTACGTGAGCTGATTCTCAAACCCCCCTTTTGCTATCCCCCCCTTTCGCCCGACCCGACAGGGTCGGACCGGAGTCCACGTGTAGCTGGCGTGCTCCCAGACTGGAGGCAGGGGGCGACGGGGCGGTGGCGATCGCGGCGCAGAGCTGGGCGCTGAGCGCAACTGTCCGGAGGTCCGAGGGCCGAGGCTTGCCGACGCTTGTCGCCCTCCTCGGGCCTCTGTGGCGCCCCTCGTGGCCACGGCTGGGTTCGCCTCGAGGCTGTTGCCCGGGCGCGCCTCAGGCTGGGCCCTGGGGAGCCACGGGGCGGAGGTGGTCGAGGGCAAAAGCCTGGGCACCCGAAGGGCTTGTCGCTGGCCTGCGGGTTCCGTTCTTTGGCGTTGCCGTGGTCGTGGTCCTCGTCGTTGTGCCGCAGCAGGGAGGAATGCCGTTCGGTTCGGGCCGGTCCCGTTCCGAACTGCCTTTTGTTCCGTTCGGCTGGGTCTGGTGTCGACATCTCTTTGGTTCGGTTCGGTTCGGCGCTGTGCGCTTCGCCGTCCGCGGTTCGTTTTTTTGTTGTTTGTTTGTTTGTTTGTTTGTTTGTTTGTTTGTTTGTTTGTTTGTTTGTTTGTTTTGTCGTTTTTTTTTTTTTTTTTTTTTTTTTTTTTTTTTTTTTTTTTTTTTTTTTTTCTTTTTAAATATTTTGTTTGTCCCCCCATTTCGGTCCTGTTCGGATTTGGCGAGCGTGGCCAGCCACATGGTCCGGTGGCGAGCTCGCCCAGCCACATGGCTTGCGCGAGGTGCCTTGCCGTCTCCCTCCCCACCGTCGAGTCGTCGAGTCGTCGAGTCGTTGTCGTGGTCGTCACCGCCGCCGCCGCCGCCGTTGTCGTCGTCGTCGTCGTCGTCGTCGTCGTCGTCGTCGTCGTCGTCGTCGCAGCCAGCTCGCTCCACCCCCGACGGCGCGAGGGAGACGCGGGATCGAGCACCCTTGGGGGGGGGGGTGGCATCGGGGGGGTGGCGCCAGAGGTGGCACCGTGGGTGGCTGGCACCACGGGGTGGCACCCGAGGGGTGGCACTGGGGCTGTGACCACGGTGGTGGCGGCACCAGCGGGGGTGTGGCACTGGGGGTTGGCACCCCGGAGTCGCCAGGGGGGTGGCACCGTGGGGGCGGCACCGAGGGGGCGGCACGCAGGGTTGGCACCGGGGTGGGGGTGGCACCCAGTGGGGGGCCACTTGAGGGTGGCACCGAGGGGTGGTGGCACGGCGGGGTGGCACCAGCAGGGGTGGTTCCGGGGGTTGGCGCCCGGAAGTGGCACCGGCGGCGTGGCACCGGGGGGGGGAGGGCTCGGTCTCCCCCCCGCACTGCCGCCGGCACTGCGGGGGTGCCCGACCGGGGGCTCGCGCTGATTGGGTCTGGTTCGCTCCTCTTCGGCCCAGTTCGGGGCGTCAGTTCGGTGCGGTTAATTAGGGTCTAAGTCGCAGCCGGTTCGGATCGGTTTGGTTCGAACGTCGGAAATGATTTGTTCGGTTCGTTTTGGAAAAACGACCAGTACACGCTGGTTCGGTTCGACCCAGTTCGGTTCGGGCTGTTCGGATCGGTTCCGGAGCCATCCTGAACAGGTGTGCCGCTTCACGCTGATGTTTCACGCCCCCGGGAAGCTTCGTGTGTTCAGGCTCGGTCAGTTCGCCGTTACGGGCCCTGCCAAGAGAGGTCGGTCAGCATGCCACGTCGTGTTTCGCTTCTTGTCGCATCGGTTTCACATCTTCTTTTCAGCGAGCCTGACAGCCCTCCAGTGGCCTGGGCGCGGGTGACCCCAGCATCGCTGCATCCGCATCCGCATTCAAGTTCCGTTTTCGGGCCCGGACGGAAACCTGCTGGTCCAGGGAAGGGTCGAGTTTTTTGGGGGCCGCGGATTACAAAACCCATCGTCGGATGTCTTGGAACCCAGGCTCCTCTAGGTTCGATCTTCGAGGGTTGAAGTTTTTTGTTTATATGTATAGATGTATGTATATATGTATGTATGTATGTATGTATGTATGTATGTATGTATGTATGTATGTATGTATGCATGCATGTATGTATGTATGTATGTATGCATGTATGTATGTATGTATGGATGTATATATACATTTCTATATGTATGTATGTATGTATGTATGTATGTATGTATGTATGTATGTATGTATGTATGTATGTATGTATGTATGTATGTATGTATGTATGTATGTGTATGTATGTATGTATGTATGTATGTATGTATGTATGTATGTATGTATGTATGTATGTATGTATGTATGTCTGTCTGTCTGTATGTATGTATGTTTGTTTATATATATATATATGTATATCCGTAAGGGCTTCGTCCCCTGCCGCCGGCCCCTTTCTATTTATCAACATGGGATAGAACAGAGTCGCGACGGTGCGTCTCGGCGCTGCCTTGGTGCATCTGGGGACGGTATGCGGGGGCGGAGAGGAATCATCAGCGCATATCGAAACGTTGGCGTTATCCTAGTGACCTTCGGCCTATCGTGCCTGGGTTGTGGGTCTGAGGCCTCTTGTATATATGTTGGGGTGTCGTGGGGAGCCTCTCGGGGGCCTCTTGGAGGCGGTTTGTGCGCCTCTTGGGGCCTCGTGGGGTATCTTTTCGGCTGCTTGGAGGCCTCTTGGGCGCGTTTTGAGCGCCTCTTGGGGCCTGGGGGCTACTCGGGGCGTAATTGACGGGGGATCGTGACCCCAGAGGCGAGAATGTGGTGTAATTTACTGCAGATCGTGGCCGCAGGAGCGTGAAAGCGGCGTATTTTGTAATGGATTGTGGCTTCGAGGGCGCGAATACAGTGTCATTTACGAGGGATCTTGGTCTCGGGGGCTCGAATATAGTTTAATTTACGAGGGATTATAGCGTCGGGAGCGCGAATCTCATGTATTTTTACACGTCCCACGGACCCCAGAAATTCTGAGAATCTTCCTGCGGGGCGCTAACCAGGGTGGTTTTCGGCTCCCCCCCTCTCGCGCGGACAATTACAATTTACAGTAGGAAGCAGAAAGCAATATTGTAACATTGGAAGCTGGCAGCTGGAACTGGTGCAGGGAGCAGCAAACCTAATCCTCGCAGGGGGCTGGGAAGAAGCCAGATGTCTTGGGCAGGGCTTTGATGGTACGTCTTTCGCAGTTTCTTCAGCAGCCTCAGATTTCAGAGAAATTGAATCCAAACGGAGTGGTGTTGCCAGCAATCAAAATGAGTGTGCCTTTGGTAAGCGTGCTAGGAATGACTCTTCGATTCGTTTTCTTCGTGCCTTTCGAGTGGAGGTTGAGATAGATGGATTACCTACTGACAAGTGGATCCTTTACTTCCCGAGGGAGAATGTGATTAATGACTTACGTATCCTGATGCATGATCGCACGCTTGAGAAAGTGGGTGTTGCTATCTTGGCAGATTTTGCTCCGAGGACGGCCGCTGCAAAAGAGGTGGCGTCCCTTGCGTTCAAGCCCAGGAATTCAAAGAGTGGCCCACCTTCAAAGAAGAAGGCCAAGAGGTGTCGCGAGTGACCGAAGCACTACGCAGAGGTGTGGTGCTGGTCGCTTGCGGCAGAGCCTGGCCGCAGAGGCGGCCAGCGCTGCGGGCGGTGCGTCCCCGTGCTAGCATTGTCGCAGGATGATTATAACATGTTGTAGACGCCTCGCCAGAAACCTGAAGAGAGTTGAGCGTTCTTAATATATGTATATGTATATGTATATATATATATATATATATATATATATATATATATATATATATCGATATAGATATAGAGATATGTGTGTTTTGTTTTCTTGTATTTTGAGCTTCCGGATTGCTCTTATCGGCACGTCTCGAGATTCTGGCCCAGACGCACCCCAGGCTGGGCCTGGGGGTCCGAAGGCCCTTGCTCCTTGCCACGGGGCCGTAACAAGACGGCTTGGAATAAAAGAACAAGTCCGTGGAAAGGGACGGGACCTCTGGGGTCCACGTTGTGAACCGCTCACGGCCGCGGGAGTTTTGGAAAGGCGACGCAAACACAGGCTTCTGAGTTCCGCGCGGATTTCTTGGGACAGTCGGCGCTGGGCCCTCCTCCCCATACCCCTTCCCCAGCGGGCGGCACCAGAGGCGCTGCCAGGAGCGCCAGGGGCGGCTGGGCCAGCCCCGTCCCAAGAAATCGGCTCCGACCTCCGACGGTTTTTGTTTGATTGGTGCTTGCCTTCCCAGGTGAGCTTCGCTGCCGACCTCTTCGCGCTGGGGGTCGTCGTGTACCAGGTGGGCCGTCCCAGAACGGGCTTCGTTTTCCAGGAGCCGAGGAGGGTTGACGCCTCCTCGGCGAAGCTTGGCGGCAGTGGAGTGAGGACGGCTTCGCCAGCGGGAAGCTGCGGAAGGCTGGCGGAAGCAGGCCGAAGTCAAGGTCGTCGACCTCCTGCGAGGGGTCCGCCCAGGCTTGCCATCGTTTCCAGGTCTTGTCAGGTGGACCCCGACATCTGAAGTTTCTCGTGGGTCAGGTCGGACGAACTCGCAGAACAACAAACGGCATGCACACAAGTTTTCGGAGTTCCGCGCGGATTTCTTAGATCGGCGCTGGACCCCCCCCTTCCTGGCGCGCTTCGCACGCCAGGGTCGGCGCCAGGGGCGCCGCTAGGGGGGTCCAGCGCAGATCCAATAATCCGCGCGAGCCTCCGACAGCTCATGCTTATGCCGATGTTTGTTCTTCTACTAAAGGGTGGGGAAATATGTTTACATAATCCATTGTGTGCAGGAGCCCATCACATCCTGGCGTCGTGAATGAAGTCATGACGTACTTCCTTTGCCCTGGCTCACGCCCCAGGGCCCGCACGGTCGGGTCCAGCCCGGAAAGTGTTTCCGCACAAGGACTGGTGGGTCTTGTGCAGGGCAGCGAAGGCCGACCGTCAGTCAGTGGGCCGTGCATCCAGAGGACGCGTAGGCAAAAAGCCATATGAAAATTTAGGGTGGTGCGCCACATGCGTCCCAGATGCCGTCAGGAGCAGTCCGCCAAACGCGAAGACTGACCGCACCTCGCGATTCTGCGCTCTGGACCGCAGAGCTCTTCCGCTCCATGGGGGCGGCGCGAGAGCCCGAAGGTGAGACCGCGCGCCGCGCTCCCCCCCCGCGCGAAAGCGGCGACGTGGCGCGGCTCGGGGCCCGAGGCGCCGGGCCGTCGGGCCCGCGGCAGGGAGTGGCCTTCAGGGTGCGGGCCCGGCGGGGCCCCCCCCGCGGTCGCCGGGGGTGCGGTGCGGTGGCAGCGGCCTGCGTGCCTGGGAGCTGTGGCCCCCCGCGGCCCCGCGAGAGAGCCGCACAGCAGAGGTCACTCCTGCCCAGGGTTGAGTCGGGCCTGGCCCTCTGCAGGATGGAGATCCACAAGTAAATCCAAAAATGATCTGGGAACGATTCTTGGACTATTTTTGAGCCCGGCCTGAGCCTAGGGTTATGATGGTCCAACCTACCTTAGCCTTGATCGCTAGAAAGAATTTCGAGCGCCAAGAAAGTACCGAAAGTTCAGGGTTTTCTCGTGCCGCCTCCCTGGAAGGCGACACTCGTTCGACACTGTTTCGACACTTCTCTGGGTGCTGGAAATTATTTCTGGGATGTGGTCCTTAAGCACGATGGGAGCAACATAAGCCCAGGGCCGCTCTTGCGTGCAATCCACAGATGATGGCGGGCATGTCGCCGTTCTTCCCCGTGTCCAACGTACGCGCGCCCCTCGAGTTCGACGGCGCGTGCTGGGATCCGCTGGACGAGGACGGACGGCCACGTGCGGACCCCATCCCTGCGAGCCAGAATCTCAGAAGAGGCCGCGTGAGCTCAGAGCGTGCTGCACTTGGGGCCTCCGTGGCAGGGGGGGGGGCCGACGGCGAATATATGGTGAAGACGCTGGACTAAGGATTGCTTTGGGCTCCGGAGGGGCTCAGGTTTTCGGGCCGTTCCGTGGGTGCATGTCGTGGAGCCCAGCCGTGGCCGAGGCTCGCTGGCCGAGGCTCGTCGTTCTTTATTGTGTGTTCCTTGTGCTGACACGCTGACTGTACGCAGCCTGTTGTCGCTGCTCGGGATCGGTGAGTGCGCAGACACGTGTCCTGGGCGGCCCGGCCAGAATCGGTGTAGGTGTACGGGTGGCGTTTCTGTGGTTGAAGTCTTACTTCTGAAGGAATACGGTCAAACCGCATCGTCAGGATGAGCAGCTTTCAAAGGTTACTCTTGCATCCTTCACCTTCGGCTCATCATTGGCCGCTTTCGCTGGCCGCGCCCCGCTTGTTCAGTGTCGACATGGCCTTCCAAGGCCCTTGCATCCTTATCGTTCGTCCTTACTATACGGGTTAACTTTAATGATTGTCGATCCCCCCTCCCCGGTAACACAGGTGTTTTTTCAACTGAAGTGCTCCTCTCAGGGCTCGAACCCCGTTTTTTTTTCAAGAGGAGTCTTTGGTTTCCAAACTGCGCTGTTTGCCCCCGAACTACTACAACAACGGCTTCTGCTTGAGCATTCTTCGCAATTCATTCAAGGGTCGCGCTCTCGCTCGGGACTTCTTACAATTTGCCTAGGATTCGCGCTCTCGTGTGGGACTTCCGCGCAATTTCCCCAGGAATCGCGCTCTCGCGTGGGACGCCCTCTTGATTTATTCAGAAGCCGCGTCCACGACACTCAGAAAAACGCTCTCGCTCTGGACTTCCTCACGATTTGCTTGGCCATCTCGCTCTCGCTGGAGACCTCCTCGCGACTCGTGCGGGCCCGACGCTCCAGCGGCCCGCCCGCCCGACTCGGCCGTCTGGGCTCGCCCGCCCGACCCGCCATGCCAGGGCCCGCCCACTAATCGGTACGCCCTGGGCCACTCCGAACCAGAGGATCCGGCTTGCATCAGGAGCACTTGCTCTTCAAAAGGGGCTCGGTCGTTCCTTTGGTTTGCACGCGTTCCGCTATCTTTTTGGCGGCGGGCCCCCCTGGTGTTCCTTCAGATTTTGGACGCGTGGGCTTGGCCGTTCCTTCGGGCTTCGTAGACTCACATGGGAAAAAGGGGCTTCGTTCCTTATTCATCGTTCCTTAGGTCAGGGGGGATCCTGTACATGCGGTTCTGCCCCACCGTTCGTTTTGCATCTGAGTTCATACCATCCCAGCTCCGCCGGCACCGCCCCTCCCCTTCAGCCATGTCATATCATATCGGGTATAGCGAGGACCCCAGGTAAGGGGCACCCACCCGGTCAGTGGTGGGGCCCAGGAGCCCCTGAATTGGCCAGAGTCACTGAACCAGGTCTGCCGTAGCTGGTGTTTTTTCATGTGACGGCAGGTCCGGTTAGTGGAACGGGGCGGGGTGGGGGGCGTCCCCCGGTACACATCTCTAGACCAGGCCCAACTAAACTTAGTTCTGCCAACGTCAAAAAGTAGTATGCGCGCGCATCCGTTCATCTCAAGAGATAGTTGTTCCAGTCACCCCCGGCAGCAGATGCATTGAGGTCCACACGCGCGCACACCTCGACGCCAAAGCCAGACACATCAGCTGTCTGCAGGCACAGCGCCCCCTTGGGCTCTCCAGGATATAGGTCCTGACGTCGTGTGAGAACCACATGCTTTTAGCAGTAACGTCCAGAGCCCGCATCCTCATCTCGCTATTTGGTGTATCCGCGTTGATCCAGCATCTTGGCATCGCTCGAACGTGTGCATTTTTCCTTTGGCGAGGATCTTCGAGGAGCATCCTCGACCATCTGGCGAACAAAAATACGCGCGAAACCGAAAAAAGCACAGGGAATGGACGTCCGAGCGATGGCCAGGCATGCGCCCACTGCACGAATAGGTATCGATCGAAGAATTCCCTGTGGGCCAGGCGCGCGCGCGCCGCCACGCGCGCGCGCGTCGGACTCCGTCCCAGACCATTGGTTTTCGAGGCATTTTGAAGACAGAGCTCAACTCAGGAGGGAAAGAAACACACAGACACAATGAATCGTCGATTCCCTAGAAAATATGGGAAGATATGGGAAGTGGAGGGAAAGACAAAAACCCAGAAGATATGGGAAAATATGGGGAATCTTTTTATTTGTATGTATTTGTTTGTGTGTCCTGGGGCCCCTTCATCAACAGCAGCATACCAGAAACCGCACGTTTTCCAACAAGCAGTCTGCCAGGCTTCTTGCGTTTCCGCTCGCGCACTTCCCCAACATCACCGTCAACAGCGCCACCGCATCACCGCCGTCATCGTCATCGTCAGTCGCCGCCACTGCGGCCATCATCAGCCAATCAGCTTCATCATCGACACGTGGGTAGCATCATCGTCATAGTCGTCACCAGCATTGGCGCCGTCAGTGGCGTTGGCGTCATCATCGTCAACATCGCCACCACCATCGCTACTATCATCATCGTTGCCACCGTTGTCGACGTCATCATGGCTCCGCACCCGCCCGAGTCACCGACCCGCACGGAAGTGCCCGCGCTCTGGCGCTGTTTGTGAGACGCGCTGGGAAGTTCCCATCGGTAGGCGCCATCGCGACCGCGTCGGTTGTGCCAAACCAGCTGGCCGCTCTGCGCGCGAGCTTGCGCGCGCTAGCGCAGCCGCAGAGATGGGCCAGCCAGCGCCGAGTAGTTATCGTCATTGCGGACGCATGGATTGTCCAAAACACTTTGCGGGTGGGGTGGTGGTATGTTTGCGCGACAGTGGAGTTGACGACGTTACGTTCTGCAAGACGGGGTGCGCACGTACATGGAACAGCATAGCGTGCGCCACATATCTTGCTTCACGTAGCTTACTCCACGACGCTGCACTACACAGTTTGGCCACAGATCTTAGACGACACAGCTTGCACCAGGCAGATTGCACCACATAGCTTGCACAGGATAGCTTGCGCCACACAGCTTGCACAACATGGTTGCGCCACACTGGTTGCACATCGACAGCGCACGTTCTTAATATTGAGGGTCGAGTCAGCATTTTCGGAGTATGTTTTGTACATTGGTTAGCAGTTGTGGTATTCGAATTCTTGGCAATAACATTCATAGTCCTAGAAATGGTAATGGTAGGTCGTAGTAGTAGTAGTAGTAGTAGTAGTAGTAGTAGTAGTAGTAGTAGTAGTAGTAGTAGTAGTAGTAGTAGTAGTAGTAGTAGTAGTAGTAGTAGTAGTAGTAGTAGTAGTAGTAGTAGTAGTAGTAGTAGTAGTAGTAGTAGTAGTAGTAGTAGTAGTAGTAGTAGTAGTAGTAGTAGTAGTAGTAGTAGTAGTAGTAGTAGTAGTAGTAGTAGTAGTAGTAATAGTAGTAGTAGTAGTAGAGTAGTCGTAGTAGTAGTAGTAGTAGTAGTGTAGTAGTAGTAGTTGTCGTAGTGTAGTGGTAGTAGTAGTAAGTTGTTAGTAGTAGTAGTAGTAGTAGTAGTAGTAGTAGTAGGATTCGTAGTAGTAGTAATAGTAGTAGTAGTGTAGTAGTAGTAGTAGTAGTAGTAGTAGTAGTAGTAGTAGTAGTAGTAGTAGTCGTAGTAGTAGTAGTAGTAGTAGTAGTAGTAGTAGTAGTAGTAGTAGTAGTAGTAGTAGTAGTAGTAGTAGTAGTAGTAGTAGTAGTAGTAGTGTTTCGGAGGGGAACGAGGAGGAGGAGGACGAGGAGGAGGGGGAGGTGGCGGAGGAGGAGGAGGAGGAGGAGGAGTAGGAGGAGGAGGAGGAGGAGGAGGAGGAGGAGTGGGAGGAGGAGGAGGAGGAGGAGGAGGAGGAGGAGAAATCGATGGGTGGACGTCGTAAGATCGGGGGTCGGAAACGACGCTTGGAGCCATCCAGGGGTGCGCTCTGGAAAGAAGCAAGCAGAAGCCGGCCGCGGCAACGGCGCCCAGAATGTCTAAACATCCCGAAGTCGTGGGCTTATAACCTCCCCCAAACTGATATACATCTTCGAAGTGCGATATTCCACCCTAGAGGAGGCGCGAAGCTTCGTGTCTATGCTGCTGGCCAAGTCCCCGGAGGCGCGCGGGACGGCTGAGTTCGCTCTCACCCACCCATGGCTCGCGCTGTCGAGCAACCGCCCCCGCGGTGTTCCGCGGCCTCCGTTCGCACCGAAGCCCGCCGACGCCATCCGCTTCCAGCCGGTGTCGAGGACGAAGCGGGCGGGAACGCAGTGCCCAGTAGGCACCGAAGTTTTTTGTGATTGGTCTTTGTTGGGTTTTCGGGGGCCTTCGCGTGGCCGCGGCTGGATCAGCCTCGAAATTATTGCCGACGCTCATCCCAGGATTGGTCTTGGGGTCGAGCGGAACCACAGGCTCAGACCCGTTGGCGTCGCGAACAGAGTCGCTCGCGACGGAAGGTTTCTGGCATTCTTAGGTCTCCCGAGGCGGAAAATGAAGGGCGGGAAAGAGTCATGACCTTTGGGGGTCCACGATTGTGAAACACATCGCGACATGTGCCAGACGTTAACGGTTTGCGAGCACATGAGGGACGGGAGAAAACGATGTCGACTGTGCGGACACTCGCGCGTAAGCTTTCCGCGTAAGTCCGCGCGTGGGCGCCATCTTCTCCACTCGGTGTGTGCCACACTGGCGGCCCGTGTACGCCGCGTCGCAAGGTCGCTAGGCCTTTTCGCGCAAGACCATCCTTTCGTTGCTCATCAAGCTGGGGCAACATGTCGCGTGATCTTGAGCTTCCGAAGGCGCTCCACGTTACTGGTATGTGTGTGTGTTCCGACGAAGGCATCTATACACCACCACCGCGCCAGGCCAGGGCCATCCTGGGTTCCAGGATGGTGTATAGACCCTCCTGGCCTCGGCCAGGATGGCGTATACACCATGCCAGGGCCAAGATGGCCCTGGCCTGGCACGGTGGTGGTGTATAGATGCCTTCTGCGTATGTGAGTGTGTGTGTGTGTGTGCACTGGGGCCGCCGGGGCATCCGACACCTCGGAAGGGGGAGCTGGCGGCAGCCGGGCCTCCCTTGCTCCGTGTGCCTGCTGGCAGGGCAGACAGAGAGGGGCTCTCGGTCCCGATGTCGGCAGGGCTGCGCGCCGTGGTCTCGGGGACCGAGCCTCTGTCGGTCGGAGGCCTCGCGTCGCGCCGCTCCCCCCTCCCCCTCCTCCTCCTCCTCCTCCTCCTCCTCCTCCTCCTCCTCCTCCTCCTCCTCCTCCTCCTCCTCTCCTCCTCCTCCCTCCTCCCTCCTCCCTCCTCCCTCCTCCCTCCTCCCTCCTCCCTCCTCCCTCCTCCCTCCTCTTCCTCCTCCCTCCTCCTCCCCCCCCCTCCCTTGGCTGCCCGCAAGGACCGTCGGCAGGGGCCGCAGCAGCCCGGGCGCCGCGAAGGCGCGCCTCTCCCTGGTGAGGCCCTCGGTCTGCGCCGCCGAGGCGTAGCCGTCGGGGGCCGCGTTGCGGGGGAGCGGCTCGGGAGAGGCGGCGTCGGCCCCCTGGCCGCCCTTTTGATCGCCGGCAGGGGCCCGATGGCCCACTGCGCCCAGGAAGGCGCGGCTTCGCCATCGGGGGCCTGTCGCCGATCTGTCGTAGATGCCTTTCCGATTCCGGGTTCACGTTCCCCCCCCGTCAGCCGGTCCCTCCCAATGTTGCCTCTTAAGCTCGTCCCAGGGCCTGGCTTTCAGGAGCACGTCATGATTTGTTTTTATTCGGGCACCCCTTGCGGTCTCGAGCAAGGCAGCGTTTCATGTTGCCAAGGCGTTGCGCCTGGGTCTCGAGTTGTTGTCAGCCTAGGTTTTCTTATCACCTGCCTTGCAGCGGCCTGCTGCTGAAAGGATTTGCGTTCATTATCCCGGGGAGGCCATCGCTTGATGGCAGCAGGTCTTGCGGAGCGGCAGAGCGCAATGGAATTGTGGGCCCGCTCCGTGATAGCGGCCTTCTGCTGCTGCCGCTATGGAATTTGTGGGCCCCCTCCTTGATAGCAAGGCCACCTCCCACACTGGCCTTCGTGCGTATACTCGCTTCCCTGTGAGGCTGCCCAGCAACCGCTGAAGCGGCTGCTCGCTAGTCTCGTGGGTCGAGGCCTTTTAAAACCATGACTTTTTCAAAAAGCTGCGCCGCCAGGGGTGCGCTTCCCTCTCCCTGGTGCTTCCTTGTTCGTAGATCCCACTCCGCCACCTAGCTGGCCGCTGGCCAGCCAATCGGGAACGCTTCTCAAGGGAGGAAGAACCACCCGGACCCGACAATCGGCGTTTACCAAATGGCCCTGGGCACTTTACTAAACAGCCCTGCCCTGTTTGATTCCTTCTTTGGGCGCGTTTGCTAAACGACTTCGCGTGTCGGGGTGGTTCTGATGGGGGTGGATTTTTTAACCTCTGGTTTCGTCTGTTTTGTAAAGCGGAATGCAACTTCGACGCTGTTTCCTTGGCATGGACGTCTTGTCGTCGACGTTGCAAACTGCACTGCAGGAGTGGGGACGGGGCGCACATGGTGCACGGAGGGGCGAAGCGCCGCTCTCACTTCGGCGCCGCGCGCACACGTCCTGAAAACTGAGCTTCTCGTTTGGGCGCGGCGCGCGTTTTCTCAGTATCGTTGAACCGACCCCCCATCCCCATCCCCATCCCCTTCGAGACCCCCACCAAATTACCCCCCCAGTTGGGGATACACCCCTCGAAACCCGAAGGGAACGGCCTATATCCCCATCGAGGGGGGTACATTGGCCATTAGGGCCCAGGCCACGCCGCTGGGGATGGGGGTCGGATAAAACGATGCTGAATAACAGGGTCGCGCGCGAGCGAGCTACATGTCGGTCTGGTCCAGCACAGCGCAGCATTGGCGTGAAAGTGGCGCACCCGTTTTGGTGCAGCGCCGTCTTTTTTTCACTCGCCAAGGGGTTTGGGGCGGGGCCGTGCGCGAGGGGGCGAATTATCGCCCTTGTCCAAGGCCGGTGCAGATTTCGCCTGCAAGTCACGTTCCCGCTCTGGCGCGGCACATGCTTTTTTCGGTCGCCAGGCCGTGGGAAAGCGGGAGCGGTGGCGAGGCTGCGCGAGAGCGGTCGAGATATGGTTCTCGCCCAGGTGCCGCGCAGATTTTGCGCGAGAGTGGCAGTGCTGCTTCGGCGGGGCGCACCGCTTCGTCTTGGCCGCACGCATCGGAAACGTGGCCGCGCGAAGGAGGACGAACTGGTGCTCTGGCCGCAGCACCGCGCAAGGGATTTCTGGAAACTCTGCTCGCGCCCGTGAGTGGCCCCGTAGTGTTTCTCCTCGCTGCGTCGTCGGTCGTAGGGCCGCGCGCGAGCGCCGTCCGTTCGCTGGGGGGTGCGCGCGCAAGTCCTAATGATGTCGAGTTGCGCCACCACCTGGTTGTCATGTTATGGGAGGGAGAGTGGGAATGAGCGGGGCTCGCCGGCTCATTCGACCTGGCCAGCTCGACTCGTGTCCTTATTCCTTAGTAGTACATGCTCCTACTTTCTACCGCAGCGGGCCGATCTGGGTCTAGTCCAGGACCCTCCATCCTACGTGTTAGAAAAATACGACGTCAATGATGTTCGTCTCAGCATGGACATTCAGTCGTCCATGTTGCAAAATGCGTGGTAGGAAATGGACGGGGCGCGCATTCCGCGCGCAAGGCTGACCTGTTGCTTTCGTCCCGGCGCCGCGGTCATTTTCCCCAGCCAGTGCTTGCACTTACGGGCTCTTACATGTGTTCTACGGAGCTGGGTCGTCTCTTCGGTCTGGCGGCTATGTGGCCGCCGTCGCCGCCTCGTCGCCGCCCGTTACCGCCATTGTTTATGTACATATATATATGTATATATATGTATGTATCACAACACATGTTAGCCAGCCTGGACCCCACACAGTGTGTATTTCAATCAATTTATGTTGTGCACTACACGTGGTGCAATCAATGTTGTGCAGTCTATGTGGTGCAACTTACTTGTGTGCAATGTAGGTGAAGCAACCCATGTGGTGCAATCTATGCGGTGCAACATCGGTTTTGCACTATATGGTGTGCAACCTATGTGGTGCACGCCCTGTGGTGCAATGTATGGTATGCTATCTAGGTTGTGCAGTCAATGTTGTTCAACCTGTGTGGTGCAGTCTATGTGGTGCAATCTGTCTGGTGCAGTCTATGCGGAGCAACATATGTGCTGCGAACTATGTGGTGCAATTCACTTTGACTGTCTTGAAGCTGTCCTCTCCACTGCTCGTACAATTACCCCACCCTCCCACCCGCAACTTGGTCGCAAGACCTCTTAAGACCGTGACGGTAGGTACCAAATGGCACTTGGCAGCGACACCGACGCCGACGACGACAGCGACAACGACGACGACGACGCCGCCGACAACGACTACGACGACACCGACGACGTCTCCAACGACTTAGACGACGACGACGACAACGACGACGACGACGACGACGACACCGACGACGACGACGAAGACGCCGACGACGACGACTACGATGATAATGCCGACGACGCCGCTGACGACGACGCCGACGACGACGACGCCGATGACAACGACGATGACGACGACGAAGACGACGACGACGACGACGTCGCCAACGAAGACGACGACGACGAGGGAGGATGGAGGGCGACGACGGCGACAACGACGACAACGACGAGGGAGGAGGGAGGACGGCGACGACGCGAACGACGAAGAAGGAGGGAGGACGGCGACGCCGACGACGACAACGATGAGGGAGAAGGGAAGACGACGACGACGGCGACGAAATAGGAGGGACAACGACGAGACGCCGACGACGGACGACGACGACGACGAGGGAGGAGGAAGGACGACCACGGCGACGGCGACGACGGAAGCGACGACGACGCCAAAGAGGACGACGACGACGAGGAAAGACAGAGGACGACGACGGCGACGACGACGACGAGGCAGGAGGGAGGACGGCGACGACGACGACGACGCAAGAGCGCGCGCGCACGCTTCTGTTGAAAATCCGCGTTGCGAAACCTTGTGTTTTTGAATGTTTTTTGGACACTCGATTTTGAAATCCTTCCGAAAACGATAGTTTTTGAAGGATTTCGGAATGCGCGCGCGACGACGCGCGCGCGCACTTCGTCCCAGTTTTGCAGAGGATTCTCGCAACTGCGCGCGCGCAAGGGCGTTCGAAAGCTTTCGACATGCGCGCTCGCGAAGCCCGTTTGGTAGTATTTTTTTGAAAACCTTGTGTGTGTGTCTGTGTGTGCGTGAGAGTTTTTGTTTGAAACTCGATTTTGAAATCCTTCCGACGCCAACGGTTTTTGAACGATTCCGGCATGCGCGCGCGACGACGCGCGCGTGTGCTCTTCGTCATTTTCTAAGCAAGGTACTTTTGAAACTTATGATTTTTGATAAACAAGTGTGGGCGCATATTTTTGTTGCAAAGGATGGCGGGGACTTCCGATACCGGTTTGGCTGGGATAATATGAGTTCCTTGGTAGGATGGACATTGGGTCAGAATCCCATGTGTTTTACATAGGTTCCCGGGGGGTCTTTAACCGCGAGGGGGGAGGGTGGTAGAACCGATTTTTTAAAGAAAGGAGAATTAATTATGTCCGCAGTGAGTTGTCGAGTCCACTGCTCGCGCAATCATCCCACCCACCCACCCGCAACTTGGTTTGCAAAACACATGCGGTCGCGGTTGCGATGTGTGCTTGGCGTTGGCTGGTCCATCTCTGCTGCCGCGCCAACCCAAGCACGCGCGCGCAGCGGCCAGCAAGTTTGGCGTGACCGAAGCTGCCGCGGTGGCGCTGACCGCCGGGCACATCCCAGCGGGCACTTCAGTGCGAGTCGGCGACTTGGGCGGGCGTGGTATCATGGCAACGTCAACAACGGTAGACACGATAATAGTAGCGATGCTGGTGACGATGTTGACGACGACGACGACGACGGCGCGGCCACTGCGGGCGCCGATGCTGATCACGCCGACGACGATGACGGCGTCCTCGCGTCGGCGATGAAAGTGTTGGACACAGTTCGACGTGCGCGCGCGGCCGACGCGCGAGAGTGGCCCGCCTGGTGTTCTTTGACACGGGTCGTGCTCCCCCCCCCCCAGCGCGCTCGCAAGGGCACGCGGATGATTTCGACATGCGGCGCCAGAGGCCCGCTTGGCTGCATTCCATGAACATGTTGAGAAACCTATGGTTTCCAGACGAATATGCAAGAACGCGACCGAACGTTTTATTCGGACACTCGGTTTTGAAATCGCTACGGAACCGAAGGTTTTCGAAGGACTCCGGCATGCGCGCGCGACGGCGCGCGCACGTTTTTTTTTTTTTTTTGTTTGTTTTGTTTGCGAATGGTTATCGCGACGGCACGCGCGCAAGGGCGTTTGAACGATTTCGACATGCGCGCGCGAAGCCCGTGTGGTTCATTTTCACATCATGATGGAAAAACAATGGTTGTCTTAAAAATTCGCAGGAGCGCGCAAGTTTTTTTTTTTTTTTTTTTTTTTTTTTTTTTGAATATCCACGTCGCGAGACAATTTGTTGGATGTAATATGTTCTTTTTGACAGCCGGTCTTGAAACCGTTACGGAGCCGAGGGTTTTTGAAGGATTTCGGCATGCGCGCGACAGCGCGCGCGCGTGTGCACTTTGCCGTTTTTTTGTTAAGGGATTCTTGACAACTCATGATTTGTGGATGAACAAGTGCGCCCGCATAGTTTGTTTGCAGAAAGGGGGCGATACGGCCTCCCTTGGGATGGTGTGAATTTATAGTTGCGGACGGTGGGGCAGAATCATTTGTAAATTGCAATGCGACAAAGAGGATCGATAATCCCCAGGGGGTGGGGGGTATAGTCAGTATGGGTTGTGCAATATATGTGGGGCAACGTATGTGGTGCAACCTATGCGGTGCCATCAAACATACATACATACATACACACATACATACATACATACAAACATACATACATACATACAAGCATACATACATACATACATACATACATGCATACATACATACATACATACATATATTGAAATGTACATATATATATATATATATATATACACACATGCAAACATACATATTCAGGTACACATTATATACATAAGTTGCCCCCCCCGGCCTGGGCCGGCCGACCCCGCAACCATCTGTGGAAATCCGCTGATACCCTTCCGTTTCGCTCCCCAGATGCGGCCCGGAGAGGCCAAGAGGGTGCCAAAACGAGCCATGAGGGTTCCAAGAAGCTCCCAAGACGGCGCAAGAAGGTCCCGAGCTGCCCAGTACGGCCCAGGAGGACCCCCAGAGCACCCCCAAAAGGGACCCAAGAGGCCCAAATCATTCAATTCCTATCGGAAGACGTAGATATTTAGCATGTGCGACTTTTCAGCTTTCGCGGCTTTCAAGACGGTCCAAGAGGCCCCCAAGACTTCCCCAGAACAACCCAAGACGTTCCCAAAAGCCCCGAGCCAGCCCAAGTGGGCGCCGAGACGGCCCAAGGGCCGCCTAACCGCCTAAGACGGCCACGTTGGCCCCAAGACGGCGCCCAAGACGGCCCAAGAAGGCCCCGAGTCGCCCAAGACGGCCCAAGATGGCCTCAAAACGGTCCAAGAAGACTCCGAGCCGTCCCAAGAGACCTCCAAGAGCACTCCCAGGAGGGCCCCGAGAAGGCATAATCGTTGAATTCGTACGGGGAAACGTGCATTTTCATCATATGCGGCGTTTCGGCCTTCGTGGCTTTGAAGACGGCCCAAGTGGCTCCCAAGACTTGCCCAAGAAAGCCTAAGACACTCCCAAGATGTCTTCAAGGCGGCCCAAGAGGGGGCCAAGTCGGCCCAAGGGCTGCCCAAAACGGCCCAAGTTAGCCCCAAAACGGGCTCCAAGAAGGCCCAAGAAGGCCCCGAGTCGCCCAAGACTGCCCAAGATGGCCCCAAGAAGGTCCAAGAAGGCTCCGAGACGTCCCAAGAGGCCTCCAAGAGCACTCCCAAGAGGATCCCAAGAGACCAAATTCGCTGCATTCCTGTAAGGAAACGTTCATTTGAAGCATATACGATTTTTGGGCTTTCACGGCTTTGAAGACGGTCCAAGAGGCTCCCAAGATTTCCCCAAGCGAGCCGAAGACGCTCGCAAGAGGCCCCCAAGATAGCCGAAGAGGGCGCCAAGACGGCCCAAGGGCCGACTAAGACGGCTCCAGGAGGGGTCCAAGAGGGAAACTCCGACTCGAAAGTTGCAGCCTTCCGCCCAAAGAACCGCCCAGGAGGCCCCCAAAGTCCCCATGAGGCCCCAAGAGGTCTCCAAGAGACCCCCAATATGGCCCAAACGAGGCCCCAAGATGGCTCAAAACGGGTAGGACGGCCTCCAAGTGGTCTCCCAAAGGGGTCCGGAAAGGTCTTCCGTGGAGCATAGCTAGAAGCTAGGCGCGCGTGAAGCGCTATATATATGTATACCAATACATACAACATAGACTTATACATACATAAACATGCACATTTACATAGACACACCCACATA